AGAGTCTTTCCCTCCCTCGGGGCTGGCTGCAGACCCCAGCCAGCCCCGAGGGACCCACGTGTGGCCGTGGTCAGCTGCAGCTTTGCTGGAGGCCCTCCCTGCTCTCATGAGACCCCGAGGGTGTTGGCTCTCTGGCCCCGAGACTGACAAATGGCCAGATGGGCCTGCAGGAGACCTCCTCCTTCCCTCATGGGCAGCAGGAACCAGGTGGGCCTCCATAGTGCCTGGGGCGGCTTACGCAGCAGTTACAGAGACCTGGATCCGGATGAGTGCTTCCTTTTATTCCTTCCTATATTGTCCATATAATATGCCTATGCACAGAAAAATGCCCCCAGCATATGCGGAAGTCACCAGCACATACCGGGATGACCCCAGGACACAGCGGGCGGTGAGGTCAGTGGGGTCCCCTGTCCCAAGGCCAACTAGGGGCCAGCCTTGCCTAGGGCCAAGACATCACTGAGCAACGAAGGTGTGAGCCGGGGGCACCTGTGACTCTGCGTGTCGCTCCAGAGCCCAGCTCAGGCGCTGGAAGGGGCTCCAGGAAAGGTCAATGTGGGCACCTGGTGGGGTGACACCCACAGTGGCCCAGACCTGCTTCCTTGAAATCCACATGGTTGTGATGAAATAAAAGGCACTGGCACCTTCTCGGGGTCTCACAGTCTCACGTGACAACCAGGAAAGAAGCCAGAGGGGAGTGGGTCAGGCCATTCCAGGCACACAGCCGGACAGCAGACCCTGAGGACACTTGTCCCCGCCTGGGAGTCCTCCTCCCTCCTGCTCTCGGATGTGACTCAGCAACTTCAGGGCTCTGCAGCTCTAGGAAGGCCCCAAATCAGCCTGCCAGGCTCATTGTGAGACAGGAGGAGGAAGGGGCGGCGGCTCCTAGCCGACACTATCCCAGGCAGGCTTCCTGTTCGCGCCCCACTGGGCCCTCTCTCCTGCACGGCCAGCCCCGAGGGCCTCCCAGGGTTCGTCTGTTCCTCCCCCAGAGACCAGAACGCTGGAGGGACCCATGGGCCCATTTTACAGATGGTACAGGGCAGAGACTCAAGGCCAGGCCTAGGCCGGGCCTCATGCCTGACCCCCCACCTGCTCCCAGCCCAAGGTCACAACCCTGACCCCCACCTGCTCCCAGCCCGAGGTCACAACCCCAACCTCCTCCACACCCGTAGGTCATGCCTTGGAGAACTGCCCCACCCACACAGAAGACGGAAGATTTTGTCTAAGAGAAGAATTATGGCTTTTCAAATATTTCCACTCTGGTTCCCCATAACGGTTCACTGTAAAACCCCGGTGGCCCCACATGACCTGCCGTTTCCTGAGCAAGGAGGTCCCGGGTCTGAGTAATTTTGAGATCACAAGGTCCCAGGATGTGGCATTTGACACGGGCAGCTGAGCCAGGAGCAGCCAGCAACCCCAGAGCCCAGCCCCTCCCCGGGGCTCTGAGGGGAGGAATTCCCTCCCCCAGGTAGATGCACCCAGGTGGAGGTGTCAGGTCAGCCACACAGACTGACCTTCCTGCCCAAGGCCCCTGACTCACCGGGGCTGGAGGACCCCCAGGGACCTCCCTGCAGGCTCCACCCTGTGTAGGCCGACTGTGGGGCCAGAGAAAGAGGAAGCTTCCGGGCTGGGCCCCACTACCCAGCAGCCCAAAGCAGCCCCCAGTTCTGCACGGGGAGCAGCGTCCCCTCCTTTTCCCTGGCTGGTGAGCAGAGCTTCCTTCCACAAAGAAGGGGGTCAGTGGAGACAGCCCACTCTATCCCCAAAATACTGGGCCGGTCGGGGGATGGTCCACTCTGTCTCTGAAATGCCAGACCAGGCTGTTTATCTGGAGGGTTTCTTCCGTGCGAGATGCGGGGCCTCTAGGCCCCATCCTAGGAACCACGGCTAGACTGTCCCTGCCTCAGAAGAGTGACATGGACACCCACACACATAGCCACCCCCACAGAGACACACACGCCGACAGACCTGTGCACGCTCATGCCCAGTCACACGCCACACCCCCTCCCCTGCTGGGCAGCAGCTAATGGAGCTGCTGAGTGGTGTGGCTGCAAGCCGCCCTTTCCAAGCTTCTGCTAGGAATATATACATATATATATATATATATATATTTTTTTTTTTTTTTTTTTTTTTTGAGACGGAGTTTCGCTCTTGTTGCCTGAGCTGGAGGGTACTGGCATGATCTCGGTTCACTGCAATCTTTGCCTCCCAGGTTCAAGTGATTCTCCCGCTTCAGCCTCTGAGTAGCTGGGATTACAGGCTTACATCAGCACGCCTGGCTAATTTTGTATTTTTAGGGGAGATGCGGTTTCTCCTTGTTGGTCAGGCTGGTCTCAAACTCCCAATCTCAGGTGATCCGCCCACCTCGGCCTCCCAACATGCTGGGATTATAGGCGTGAGGCATGGTGCCCAGCCAATACTATTTTTATTTAAATCCAATAGAGCCAAAATATTATCACTTGGATAATCAATATAAAGACTTATTATTTTGGGGGATGGAGTCTCACTCTGTCACCCAGGCAGGGGTACAGTGGCACAATCTCGGCTCACTGCAACCTCCACCTCCCAGGTTCAAGCGATTCTCCTGCCTCAACCTCCCAAGTAGCTGGGATTGCAGGCGTGCACCACCCCATGCCCAGCTAATTTTTGTATTTTTAGTAGAGATGGGGTTTCGCCATGTTGGCCAGGCTGGTTTCGAACTCCTGACCTCAGGTGCTCCACCCACCACCTCAGCCTCCCAGAGTGCTGGGATTACAGGCGTGACCCACCATGCCCGGCCTAAAGAATTATTAAAGAGCGATTTTACTCTCCTTTTTTTCTACTAAGTCTTTAAAATCTGGTGTTTGTTTTATACTTAGAGCCCATCTCAATCAGACACTAAATTTTTATCAGAAATCCTTGATTGTATTTAGATTTAATAAAATGTAGAGTAAAAAAGTATGTTGTCGCCCAAACTGTTTCAAACAAGCTTAAAAGTTTTTAATAATGGAGATGGGTATTGGCTTTAAATTTTTAACTTTAAGACAATAGAATAAACCCCTCTGTGCCAAATTCCCCACAGAGTCACGGCATTGGGGTTTTGAAGGCCTCATCGCCGGCCCCCACCTGCAGGCAGCCCTCCTGGGTTGATAGCCAGGAGATGAGTGTTATCAGTGTCTGTGGGAGAAGCAGGGGCTCTGAGGTTGGGCGAGTGAAGGATCAGGTGGGCACCGCACATCGAGGGCACAGGGCCTGGGAAGCCCCACCGTGCGAGGGGCGGACCTGACTGAGCCCAGGTGCCCAGGCCCTTGTGGGCACAGAGTCTGCTCCCCAGGAGGCTGTCGGTACTCCGGCGGCGGAGGCTCTGCTAGCCCTAGACCTCTCTTCTGGACAGACGGCAGCGCCACGCCCCTCCCGAGCCCCACACCCCTGTACAAGCCCTGCCTGCTGCGTGGAGGACCCATGCCAAAGCCGGCATCGCCTGGGGGTGGGGGGAGAACACTCAAGTGCGAGAGGCAGACCCTGTGCCCCCGCCCCCCCCCCCGCCCCCCCCCCCCCCCCCCCCCTCCCCCTCCTCCCCACACCTCCCCCACACCTCCCCTACTCCTCCCCCGCCTCCCCCACCCCTCCCTCGCCCCTCCCACCCCTCCCCCACCCCTCCCATGCCCCTCCCACGCCTCCCCTACTCCTCTCATGCCTCTGCTACCCTGGAGTTATGACCTGGTAGGTCCTGTGCACCCCGATCCCCACCGGCCAGCCTACCATCACCCACACGGTCCGCTTCCCCCACCCGATGCCCTCTACTGTCCTCTAGCATTTCTCTGTGTGTGTCCAGCTCCTTCCTGCCACGGTGCCCTTGCCCGGCCGCTCGCCATGTCCCTCCCTCCCTCGACTGGACAGGGCCTGCTCACCCTCAGATCTCAGCTCAGAGTCGTGTTCCCAGGAAGCCCCTGGCCCTGCCGAGGTCAGGGCCTGTGACAGCCGAATGCTCCCGAACACACACCATGATGGCTGTGACCACGCCTGTGTGGCTGTGCCTCTGTGGCTATCTTACTCGTGGTATCTGTGGCATTGGGAAGGACCCTATCTGGCTCCACCGCGTCCCAGGGCTACGATGAAGTCAAAGCTCCAGAAACCAGATGAAAGAATGAATCCACAGACAGGAAACTGTGACAAAAACTTTGAGCGCCCTGCTCCCGAGCACGGCTGAGACACGGAGCTCACTCCAGCCTGGACAACTCAGGGCAGCCGTGACCCAGGGGCTGGAGGCAGGAAGAGGAGCCGGTCTGGCTCTGGGCAGGTCTGGGGTCCGCAGCACACAAGTCCCAACCTCGGGACTCCTTGGGGATGAGGGGGGCTGTCTTGCCTGGGTGCCACTTCGGTCTATGGGGAAAGCGTGGCTTGTAGGCCAGCAGACACTGCAGTGACCAGGAGCTCAGGGGAGCAGTCTCGGCAGCCAGGCTGGCCTCTGGAGAAAGGACCTGGGGCCAGGACCCCGAGAGCGGGGAGGACAGCGGGGCTGAGGTGGAGGGAAAGCTCGGGGGAGCAGACACCGCGGAGGCAAAGGCCAGGATCAGGGGAGACCACGCATGGGAGGAGGTCCTCAGAGCGGGTACGCCCTCCAGGCAGGTTGGATGGTGGCCCCCATGACAACCATGTCCTAATCCCCCAAGTCTGTGACTGTCACCTTACTTGGCAAAGGAGTTCAGAACCTTGGAATGGGAGGGGAGCCTGGATTATCCAGGTGAGCCCAATGTAATCACCAGGGCCACCTAGGAAAGAGGCAGGAGGGTCGGAGGCAGAGGAGGGGAGTAGAGGTCCGAGGCTGCGAGGAAGGGCTTGAGCCAAGGAAATGCAGGTGGGAAAGACAGGGACATGGATTTTCCCTTAAATCCTCCAGAAGGAGCTCATTCCTGTTGGCTCCTGGTGCCCCAGTTCAGTCCTCTGCCTCCAGAACTGTAAGGTGACCTGTGAGCTGTCGGCCCTTCACTGGGGCTATTACTGCAGTCCCCGAAACTCACCCGGCCTTCGACAAAAGGAGTGCAGGTCTCACTCTGAGGCCCCAGGAGCCTCGGGAGGTTCCCAGCAGGAAAGGACATGGTCTCCTGCACGTTTCTAACTTAGGAGCCACGGTGGGAGTCGGGCCCGGAGCCAGCCCTGGTCCACGGCTCGCGCTGCTCTGGGCTCTCCATAGCTTCGTCTCCCTGCTCCTCACAGCCCTGGCGTCCCCTGCTTTACAGGTGAACAAGCTGAGGCCCAGTGCTGCCTGGGTGCTGGCGCTTGCAATGACCCAGCTGGTCGGACTGGGGCCACATGGGTGTCAGGCAGGCCGGTGCTGCCTCCTGTGCAGTCACCTCCCACGGACGCCACTCGGTCACCAGGGAGGCAGCCTCAGTGGTGCCTGCCGTGTGATGCTCCCAAGCCTTGGAGGTGACTGTGGCTCCAGGGCCTATGGCAGGCCCGGCAGCCCCAGCAGGCGGGCACAGCAGCCTGACCTGATTGAGCTGGGACCTCCAAGGCCGCAGACGCACACACCGTCCTCCACAGCCATCAGGCTGGCTGCCCGGGGTGCTTTTGGTTCCATCAGTGAAGTTTTCTGTGGTTCACTCAGAGAGGAGTTGGGCATGGCTTCCAAATTGTGTCTCCTTTGGAGCACTTCAGAGCCTTCCCGGGGCCTGTGGAGCCTGAGGTGTGTGCTGGCATGCGTGGCACAGGCCTGGGACTCCCAGCAGCGGCAGAGGAACCCGGAGGGGGTCAGGTGCCCTCCACCCACAGACAGGGGGTGTGCATGAAGAGGAGGGTGGGACAAAGGAGGAGATGTGTTTTCTGCTTTAATGATTTAATGGGTATTTAAACCTCCCTTGGTATGTGCCTGGCTTCCGGGTGCTCTGAAAAGTTTTCCTAAAGGGGCTGGGGGAGGGGAGCTGGCGCCATGAAGGCGTGAGTCAGGTGGGTGAGGCCGTGCTTGCTGGAAGGAGTCCACATGCCTTCTGAACACACAGCTTACAGCCTGCACCTGTCCCAAAGGCCATGCTTCCCTGTGACAATGACTGGTTCCTGCCCACATTGGGAAAGCCTTGGACAGCTTTCCTGGTCTCCAGAGAACCAGGAGAATCGTGCCTGTCAGAGTTCCCGGGAGTCAGCGCTTCTCCTGCAGGCTGAGACCAGCCCAGGAAACTTCACTCTGAAACCACCGCCCCGGGGCAGAAACTTCCCTGGCCGCCTGCCCTGGTAATTTTCCGGGGTTGAAATTTTCCTCTCCAGGGGCAGGAAGGACCTTCAGCCACTGACAGCTCAACCAGAAACGTTTCTACCCGACCAGAAGTCACAACCGCCCAGAGCACGACTTCACTCAGCCTCAGGGGCGGGGCCGTGGGCAGCCGTGGTCGGGGCCCCTCCCACCTGCCGATCGGGGGTGTGTCTGGCCACGCCCCACCAGCAGCCGTGAGGGACAGGACGTTCCAGGGAGGCCGAGGACTCGGGACCCTGGCCAGAGGGGTAGGGGCTGCAGGAGGCCACCCGCTCCCCGCTGACCTTGGCAGGAGCACCTGGGAAGCTGTGATGAGCCCGCCCGGGTCTCCTCTCGGCCCTGAGGTCGCAGGACTCCAGCCACTGTGGAGATGAGTGGAAGCGTGGCTTCCCCTGAAATGAAACTAGACCCAAACCAAGACAAAAACTTCCCACGCTGATCCTATATTTCCTGCTCTTCCTTGAGGGCAAGGGGCAGGATTTGACTTCCCCCGGGGTAGTGGGGCACACGTGGCCGCTTGGGCCCGTGGAAAGTGGCTGGAAGGGCCGTGTGCCACCTCTGGTGGAGACCCCGGGACCCAGTGTGCAGTGCAGCCCGGCCCTGGGAGCAACACCTGCAGCCAGGTGGTGCCCGCGGGGCCCGTGTATCGACGAGGGACCGGGGCCCTGGCTGCAGTGGGGCCGGATCTGTCTGTGTTGACGGACACACCGCAGAGCCAGGATGAGGCCCAGAACCTGGAACCCAGCCTGTCTCCTAAGCAGCTTCCAGGTACTTCTGTATTTAGATATTTTTAGGGGAAGCTCTTTATTATCCAAAGATGTCATCATCAAAAAAGGGAAACGACCATCCGACCGCACTTCTGCCAGTTTTACCGAAAGAGCAGACTGTGCCGGAACTCGGTGCTTAAAAGGACAGCAAACCCCTAATCTAGTCAGAGAGGAAGGGCACGCCCGCCCCACCCGAGGGAGGAACAAGGACTGTCCACTCAGTGAGTCTTTGCAAGGAGCGCCGGGGTCCGGGGGACAACAGCAGCCTGTGTGCCCGAGAGTCACCCGAGTCCCCGCAGTGACCAGACCAGGCGGGTGAGCGTGTGCCGAGGCACGGGCTCCGGGTTCAGGCACACAGAGGCCCCAGCCTTTGCTTTCCTCCCCACAAAGGACGGCAAAAAACAGGTGAATCCAAGGCCCAGAGATGAGCCCGGTTTTTCCATTCACAGTGACGCCCCGGGATGTGGAGGAGGAAGCAGCACGAGGCTGTAGCCAGGCGGCCTGGCCTCCGCACGCTGAGTCAAGCAGAGCCACTGCACGAGGATGGGCGAGTGGGCGAAGGCCAGAGGCAGCTCTCCCCTGTCCTCCGTGCGGCCAAGGAGTGTGTTCCTTCGTCATCACAGTCACATCACACCAAGCCCCACGAAATTCCAACCTTTGCATTCCTTAGCTTGTAAGATAATGCTGCATAAACCAAGACAAAACAGCACACAGCCAAGGGGGCCAGGAGGGTGGCGGGCACCGTGCTGCAGGCTGAGTGAGCTGCCGTGCCAGGCGACCACTGGGCCCAGCCCTGCCGAGGGTGTGTTCAGCCCGGGAGAGCCATGCCAAGCAGCGGAGAGGGGAGTGGCCCCCACACTCTCCCAGTGTGCCTGCACTGCCAGGGGCACCTGGGCCCGGACATGGGTTGTGGCGCGGGACGTTGGAAGAGACAAGAAAGACAGGGCTCCATGAAGTGGGAGCAGCCTCGGGCTCCCCAGGAAGTTTCACCCTCCGGAGGCAGGTGGAGCATTGATTTGGCCGGACCCCATGTCCTACAGGCCCGGCAGCCCCTTGTGGGCATCTCAGCTGGAACGGGGCATGAGCAAGGGCACAGTGGAGCTGTGCTAGGGTCCCACAGGGGCTGCTTGGTTCAGAGTGAGAGGCCGACGGAAGATAGAGTGAGTGGCACTGCGAACGACAGGGCAACCCATTCTTTCCCTGGAGCCCCCTCTGGGTGCCTTTCCCTTCACAGCACCTTCCCTCCAGTTCCAGACACCTCAGGGCCCACCAAGGCCTCACACTGGAAGTGCAAGTCCTTGGGGATCCCAGACTGGCCCTGCAGTGCCTGGGGCGGGTCTGTGGGCCTGGGAAGGGGGCGGCAGGGGTGTGCACCACAGTGGTTCTGCTCATATGTGTCTTATTTACTGGGGTTCTGGGTCACGGTTCAGTCCCGCTGCCTTCAGAGCTAGGAAGCTGAGGCTCTGAGGAGAAAAACCAGAGGAAGGGCAGGGACGGGTGCCCTTGAGGTGCTACCTGGCAGGTGTCTTCCTGAGCAGTCCTGCCCTGTGGTGCCACTGGTCCCACCTGCTGTGCCTGCTCCCAGACCCAGCTGGCTTTCCCCACCTCAGTCTCAACACAGGGCAGGAGGTGCCCCCACACTCTTGTCTCACCCGCTGGACCACCCGGGGTGCAGCCTTCCAGGCTGCCTGTGGGGTTGGCAGGACCTGGGGCTTCCTCCTGACACTGAGCATGTGTTGGCCTCTGGACTGACCTCCCACACAGAGGGGCACCAGGGAGAGGTCAGTAGCCTCTCCTCAAGCTCCCTGGGCATTCCTGGAAGCCTCAGGGCACAAGCAATGTGCCAACATCCCCTCCCCCTCCTGCTCTTCCAGCTCACGCTCACTTTCACCAGCAGTCTCACCCAGAGGGCACCAGCCTTGTTCTAGATAAATGCCACCTCATCTCCACAGATGACCCTGGATTTCTCACCTCTAAGACTAACTGTCCCCAAAACCCAGAGCTCCATGTCCAGCTGCTGACCCACTATTGCCTCTGGCACCCAGGAGGTGTCTCAGAGTTTCCCTGCCTAACTCAGGAATGCTTCAGCTTTTCCCCAGTTGGCTCTCCCTGTGCCACCTGTCCTCCTCACCTCGAGAAGGGCCTCTTTCCCTCGTTTGCCACCTCTGGCGTAAGAGTGAGTCCTGAGTCCTATCTCCAAAACTTTTCTCAAGTCTGTGGCCTCCTCGCCACCCCTCCTGCCCATCACCTCTTACCTGGTCTTCTGTCTCCATCAGTCCTTCTCCATGCCACAAGACCTAAGAACACACATCAAATTATGTCGCATGCAGTTAAAATCTCTGCGATTCTCTGTTGCTCTTTAGATAAAGTTCAAGCTCTTTACCATGTGTTGGGAGGAGGACTGGCAGGAGGAATACCTTCATACATCATTGTCATTGTCACCATCACCATAACTCTTATCACCGTCACTACCACCATCATCACTACCACCACCAATCTCATCATTTCAACTATTACTGTCACCATGATCATCATCACCACCACCATCCTCATGACAACCATCACCACTACCACAACCATCTCATCTCGACCATCATCACCATCACCAACCCCATCATCATCATCCTCATCACAACCATCATCACTACCATCATCTCAACCATCACCACCACCACAATCACCACCATCACAACTAAGCCATCATCATCTCAACCATCATCACCAACCCATCCTCCTCTGCCTCATCATCATCATCCTCATCACGACCATCATCACCACCACCATCATCTCAACCATCACCACCAACCCCATCATCATCATCATTATCATCATCATCCTCATCACAACCATCATCACCACCACCATCATCTCAACCATCACCACCACCACAATCCACCATCATCTCAACCATCATCGCAACCCTATCATCACATCATCATCCTCATCACACATCACCACCACCATCATCTCAACCATCACCACCACCACAATCACCATCATCTCAACCATCATCACCAACCCTATCATCATCATCATCCTCATCACAACCATCATCACCTCAACCATCACCACCACCATCATTACCACCACCACCACCCTCATTACAACCATCACCATCACCACCATCCTCAATACAATCAACACCATCACCACCACCACCACCATCATCATCGTTGCCAGCATCAACACTATCATCATCATAGTTTGCCTACAAAGCAAGAGAGGGTCTTGGCTCAGTGTAAACAGGCTTTGATACTCCAAGCTCACTCCCTAGAAGTGGTAAGCCAAGACCCAGGAGGCAGGAACACCCCCAGATAGTGCCTCTATCACTGGGAATGAGGCCTGTTCAGAGGGAATTGTCCACATTTGTTTTGTGCTGCTACAACAGAATACCACAGACTGCATAATTTATAAAGAACAGAAGTGCATTGACTCACACTTCTGGAGGCTGGAAAATCTAGGATTGAGGTCTGGCATCTGGTGAGGGCCCTCTTGCTGCATCCCCCCACGGGGGAAGTCGAAAGAGAGGGCAGGAGAGAGAAAGCAGGAGGAGGCTGAACTCATCCTTTTATAAGGAACCCACTCCCAAGATAATGGCGTTAATCCATTCACTCCACCCTCACGGCCTAAGTTTCCAGCACAAGCGTCTGGGGGGACATATCCAAACGACTGCAGGAGTTAACACCTCTCAGGTCATTTAGAGATATAAACAATGAGGGTTACGATGACAATGTTTATTAGCACTCTTGGGGTTTTTCCATTTCCCTGATCTGATGCAACCGTGAATAATTTGCCACTAGGAGCTGGGTCAGCCAGGCCCAGGAAGTGGCCCCTGCCTCACTCAGCCAAGCGTAAAACCTGCCATCCGGCCAGGGCCAAGATCCAGGCACAGACAACCTCTCGGCTACTTGACCCCCCTAGCGAGATCCGCTGTAGTGGGATCAGCGGTAGCCCCGGAGATCAGGAACTCCCCCAGGGCCCCCCCAGCCCTTCCTTGCTCTGTTCCGGCCACTCCAGTGGCCTCTGTGCCTGCCTCCAGGACTTGTGCTTTTGCTGCCCCCTCCTAGGGCATACTTCGGCCAGTCGTCCACTGATGACTGGGGTCTTTGCCTACATGCCATCCCCTGGGAGAGGCCTGTGCTACCCACCCCACCCTGGCCAGGTAGGTCTGTGAGATTTCCCTGTATGTCTCATCACTACTTAAAGTTAGCTTGTTTATTTGCGTGTTTATCTTTCTGATCCATCTTCCCGGAGTGCCCTGGGAGAGCCACATTCCTGGAGGCCAGAACCCAGTCCCCTGCAGGGCTTGATGCACTTTGTGGAGTGAATGGATCACTATGGTTACCCAGCCCGGAGCCTGCCGGGCAGA